TGTCTAAGGTTATGCTAACAGACATTTTCTACCATTAACCTGGAAAACTGATTGACCTGGGAAGGATAGGAATGTGTCTTGAGTGTATGTGAGTGTAACGGGGAGCATGAAATTCTGTTCTGTATTTTGAGAAGAAGTAAGTTTTGGGTGTTTTTCTTTCACAAAAATTTCAGAACATCTTTCAAAAGCAGCATTTGCATACTCCTTGTTTCTTTCAGTTCCCATATGTATTCCTTAATAAAAACTTTTTGCCTTTTTTTTTTTTTTTTTTTTTGTAAATGAAGGTGTAGGGTGAATCAATGGGCTACAGAGATGTAATGATTTCTTCAAGATCTTTCTATTTCTTTTCAGCACCTGGGGGATGGGGCAGTTTCTGGGATCGGTATTTCATTTGATTTGGAGTGTTGAAACTCTGCCTTGGGAGGGATGTGCATTTTTGTCTGCAGGCAGTGTGAGATAACTCATGCCTGGGAACAGGCTTGTGCAAGGGCTACTTTGGCCTGACCCAGCGCACGTGCCTGCCCTGCGCTGGAGGCAGTGGAATTTCAGAAAGTACCTATTGTCTTCCTGAACTGGTTTTTCTGGCAATGGACTGAACTCCCGACGCTTTGCACGCAGTCGAACAGGAGCTTTGGAAGTTTAGCTTTGGCAATCAGACTGAGGTAACATCAGGTGCAATCTGTGACTTTGTCCTTTCCTGTTGCCCTGCTCGCAGTTCTGTGAGGGAGGGTGATAGCAAACCCGGTCTTGTAATAGTCAGACTCTTTAATGGTGTGCGAAAGCCTCTGCTAAAAGAAATGTTTAGAAATTTATAAACACATAAAACTAATTGGGCAGACAAACCTTTACTGGCTAAAGAGATAGTAAAAGTCTGACTCTAGAGACTTTTTCAATATAGAAGAAAAATCTGTGGTATAAAACTTCCAAATAACAGTTCTTTTTACAAACTGTACAAATATGTGCTACCTCTGTTCCAGGGACTCACGTCTATGAGTCTTCAGATGGAGAATTTGAAATGTTTCATGTGTTCTTCCTCCTCTTGCATTATGGTCTTATGGACATTGAATCTTTGAGTCCTGATTATCACAAATAGGGAAATTTCAAAGCGCTTAGCATTCTCCAGGTGACCTGTACACCCGAACTGTTTTAATCTAAATAATCCACCACAGAGATTATTTCTACTATACAATAAGAGAGATAACTATGCTGGTTCTCTTCCTGCTTCCTGCAGGAGAATGGAAACTTCAGGATGTGCAAAATGTATAACAGCTTCTATAAATTGAAGAAATCCTTGCTCCTGTTGCAAGGAGTAGTTCTTCTACAGGCAGACACAGTGGTCTCTGGATTGGTTTCTTTTTCCATAAGAAGAGCAATACAAAGTATACTGACCAGCCTGGGAAGCAGACAAAGTGTATTGCAGCTTCCAAGTGTTGTATTTTCCCTCACTATTCTGAAGTACTGCACTGCAGAGCTGTTGACCAAAGCTCCCTGAAAATTACTGCTAAGTTGCAATTTCTTATATAAAATTGGATTCTGGACTCTATCTCTCTTAACCCTTTTCTTTCCAGCAGTAAGAAGGCACAGCAATCAAATGCTGTGCACCAAAATTCTCAAGGATCTTCATTTGGGACGTGCTTGCTACAGAGAGCATTATGTTCAGCTGGCAGCTGCTCAAGCTAGCTCAAAACCTGTACCTGTCAGTGGAAGTGCAAAAAACTGAGGACCTGCTGGGGTTCAGCCTCTAAATAGTGGTCAATAGTCGTAGGCAAACTTTGGTCCTGGGTCCCTCATTCACAAGGTGAATGCAGTGATTATGGGGTTAGGTAGGGGCAGGGGTAGAGACAGAGCAGTGAAGTCAGGACCTCAGTCTCACTGGGACAGAGGGTGCATCCCCTTTATTTTTTTTTTCAAAATTTAGTCCCTTGGTGGGGGGTGGAAAAGATGCCTGTACTCTTTTTAAGTGTTAACGTGTAGGTAGTAACACAGAGTGGATTTAACACTGTACGAATTCGCATCTCAATGACTTTTTGCACTTTGCTTCACTTGGGAGATATTTCACTGACATCCACTTTCATTTTAGTACCAGGCAGGATTATCCCTGCAAAAATATCCAGCACAGCCATGGAGACGCTTAGGTGTTGCGGTTCACGTGCTGGTCTTCTTGCAGGTACAGATAGCTAAAATTTTTAAATACTTCTTAAGGCCTGCTTTGTGTCTGCCACACCTTTAGAGTCTGCACTGGATGGGTCAGAGCTGTGCTTCAGGCTGGGACAGGGACAAGACCAGAATCTGTTTGAAGAAGTGGAGCATGTGGAACTGTTTCTAAAAAAGGTTACAGGGAAGCCCAGATGTGTTATCAGAAGTCAGGGGACAGGAAGAATATTTGTAAAGCAGATCTGGGGAAAAAGAGACTTTGTAGCATTGCTACCTGGGTGATGACCCCAATGATAGCTCTGCTTTTGCATCATAGCCTGGCACAGCTGTTACCACGATGACGTAGGCAGCTTTTTAACAGGGAGATACGAGATTCAGTGCCCCAAAGAGTGAATTTATTCTGTTATGAAGTAGTTGAAACTCTGCTGGAAGATGACAGTCCATTTGTAAGTGTAAGTATTTGTTAATAGATCATAATGGTAGTCTCTGAACCTCTTCCCCATCTCCTGCTCCAGTACCTTGGGATAGCTGGCTCTGATGCCAGTTGAGACACAGAGATTTCACAGTGTACCTGCAAGCAAAGACAGTGAATGTTTCTGTTCTTAGTTTGGGAGCACATTTCTCGTATGCATGCTTTTCTACTTTTTAAAGGTCCTTTGGCATAGACATTCTGTATTCAACTATATCTGAGGTCAAAACATTGTTATGGAAAGAAATATAAATTGTGGTGTGTTACTACTATACATGAAATAGCAAAATCTTAAAAAATACAGAAGACACAACAAATGAAATTAGGCTCACTGTACCTGGACTTTGCTGGAAAACAAATGAAGGCTTAATTAGGGATTACAAATTGGGATACACGCATGGTTTCAATATAAATCTCCAATCTGACTGACTTGCAAAAGCCCTTCCAAAATACTTGGTTGTAACTGCACATAAAAAATAATCAGGGCAATATTTATGCAGTAATTTAGAAGGCTATATGTTTGTCAGATAATGAACTAACATCCACAGCCTGCCCTAAATACCTAAAAACCTGATAACTCTGTCATGAAGATAGAGATTAGATTGCTCAGCTGTGACTCTGTGGAAGATAATCCTTTTATTGCTGTTCCTGTAAAATTTCAGACAATAAAGCAGTGTTTCAGTAACATCACATTACCATTTTGCAGGGTTGTGTGACAACCTTTCAACAGTATTTGCAAATTGTTACTCTTTTTGAAAGCTGAAGTCAGAAAGATCTCTGCAGACCATGATGTCTCAGTTTTGCCCAGGGTGTGTGGATATTTTGCTGTTGGGCTCTGCCTGGGGCTTGTATCTGTGGTAGCAGATAAACTACTGAGAGGCAGCTAGTTCTTAGTTGTATGTAATATTACTTTATATTCAGCCTGCTATGAGCAATCATGTGGATTTTTACTGGTTTGTATTCACAGTTTTAGCAAGTGTGTGAAAAAAAATACAGCCTATAATTCTATCTACCTGTGCAAAATGGAAAATTAGAATGATTCATCTCTCTTGGAGAAGTTCTTACATTAAACATTTGTTTGACAGTTCTTTGAGAAAAGTCACTGTCTCCTATTTTCAAATAGTAGAAAACACAGAAATATTTTTCTTAACCTTTCATTAATCATGAATTAAATATTTCCTTTAATACCAAGAGTGTAATTTTTCTCCATTCATAGAGGTTTTTGTTTTCAATAATGACCCAATATATCTGTCTCCTGTTTTCATAGACAAAGTTTGCTTTGAAGTACTGTGAAAGATTTTGTGTATTCTTAGTTAAGACTCCCACATAAAGGCTATATAAATACTGATATGGTTATACACGTGGTCAACTTCTTTTAAATAACTGAGCAGTTATTGCTTGTCATGCTTGAAAACTGGAGCAGAGGCTACAAATGTGCCCTTCTCTTGTCCCATTTTGTGTTGCATCATGTCACGTGCCACGTGTAAGCTTGTGGTCAGAAGCACCTGTATTTGTTTCTTTTGTCTTATGGAGTGGTTTTGCTGTGCTTCAGGCTCTGTGTCTCCCATCCTGCTGAGTGTGGGAATGCAGGGCTTTGGGCAGGCAATCCCTGTGGAAGCTGCAAAGCTGGGTGGGACTCTGTGTGTGGGAGCTGTTCCTGCTTCTGGGGCAGCCGGATGTGGGTGCCCACATCCCTGTGGGTGAGGGAAGTACACGCTCCTGGCCCCTGGTACCATCAGCTCTCTACAAAGAGAGCTGTATATCCAAGGAAAACTGGCCGTGAGGGTAACAGGCTGAGAGGGGTAGGGAGTAGATGCAGTCTTCTTTATTAGTCTTGTCTCTGACTCTGGGCTTCCTTTGAGTTCTCCAAACCTTAATGAAAAGGTGGTTCAGAGCCTTTGCTGAAGTGATGGTGGACTTTGTGTTAACCAGGAGTGGATGCCACAACTGGCAGCCAAATTTAGTTCATTCCCAGCCTGAATATAAATTTGTCTTTTTTCTACTTCCAGTCTTTCTCAGGCCACAGAAGATTGTGGTTGTACGTTAGTCCTCCGTCGTCCTGGTACTTCTTACTACTCTGTCCCCTTCCTCCCCGCTGAACTGTAACCAAGGTTGGAGGTGTTTGCAGGACTGTTTGTAAGGGGAGGCTGCAGAAGGGTGTTTGCTGACTGAAATTCTGCAGGGCTGAGCAGGATGTAAGCTCAGTGGCAGTGGGGCTCTGCAGCACTGGTACATTCAGCTGGCAACATCTTACCAAACCTCATGTGGTCTCCTTTTCAGGAACCAGAATCAATTTTTCCTTTGCACTCTGTTGATTCTCTCAGTGGTGAATACTGTGGGCTTTGTGTAATCAACCCCTTTCTCTTTTCTGTTACAGAGCTCCAACATGGGAGGCAAACTGAGCAAGAAGAAGAAGGGATACAGTGTCAATGATGAAAAAGCTAAAGACAAAGACAAGAAGGCTGAAGGAGCAGCAACTGAGGAAGAGGAGACTCCAAAGGAGGCTGAGGATGCCCAGAAAACCACAGAGACCACAGAAGTGAAGGAGAACAACAAGGAGGAGAAGGGAGAAAAGGATACTCAGGCCACTGCCAATAAGACGGAAGAAAAAGAAGGGGAGAAGGAGAAAACAGTGACCCAGGAAGAAACCCAGAAAACAGAACCTGAGAAGTCAGAGGCTGTTGTCGATGCAAAAGTAGAGCCACAGAAGAACACCGAACAGGCACCCAAGCAAGAGGAGCCGACTGCTGCCTCTGCTCCTGCTGCCAGTAGCGAAGCACCCAAACCCTCTGAGCCTAGCAGCGATGCAAAAGCTTCCCAGCCTTCAGAAGCCACAGCTCCCAGTAAAGCAGATGACAAGAGCAAAGAGGAAGGGGAAGCCAAAAAGACTGAGGCTCCCGCAACGCCTGCAGCCCAAGAAACTAAAAGTGAAGTGGCCCCAGCTTCAGACTCAAAACCTAGCAGCAACGAGGCTGCACCCTCTTCCAAGGAGCCCGTGGCAACAGCAGCACCTAGTTCGACTGCTAAGGCCTCGGACCCTGCAGCCCCTCCAGAGGAAGCGAAACCTTCTGAAGTTCCAGCGACTAATTCGGATCAAACCATAGCAGTGCAAGATTAAATTGGACAGCCTGTTGAAACAACCACTTAAAACAACCTGTGTCTTTTTTTTATTTTTTCAGCTATACTAACTCGTTTCAGATCTGAAATAGCAAATACGTATTGCCCAGAAAAGAAGGAGAAAAAAAAAAGAGAGAGAAAAAGTGAAAAGGATGTCCCATCAAGTTGGGAGGGAGGGAGGGGGGAAAATCCAAATAGTATTTTTGTGGGGAAATATCTAATATACTTTCTGCCAACTTGACACAAGTCCTGGATTAAAATAAATAAATAAATAAATGGATGTCTGAAAGTACAGCACATCTTTTGTATCTGAACTGCCGTAAATGCACTCCACCAGTGTATCAAAATCTTCTTTTTGTTCTGTAATGGGGTTTGGGAGTGATGCGTTTGATTCTGCCCACTAGGTTTGTGCCAAGGCAATCAGATCTTTATGAAAGCAGTATTTTCTGTGTTTTTTTTTTTTTTTATTTACAGCCTTTCTTATTTTGATATTTTTTTTATGCAGTGGATGAATGCCAACTTTCAGACAAAACCCACTTAGCTGTCCACATATTTCTCAATGCCAATCCTCCAATTCTTCCTCTCCAAATATTTTTTGGGAGTAAAAAGCATTCTCATCCTACTTAGCCTACCTAGATTTCTCATGACGAGTTAATGCATGTCCGTGGTTGGGTGCACCTGTAGTTCTGTTTATTGGTCAGTGGAAATGAAAAAGTCTGCGTTCATTGCAGTTCCAGTTTCTCTTCCATTCTGTGTCACAGACACCAACACACACTCATTGGAAAACAAATGAAAAAACAAAATGTACAATGGATGCATTGAAATTATATGTAATTGTATAAATGGTGCAACAGTAATAAAAGTTAAATAATTTAAAAAATATATAAGTGTAAAGACTGATTAAATCTTCACTTTCATCCCTTGAGAACTAGGCAAAGGAGGTTCTTACACTTAGACAAGAGGTGTTATGTCTGGGGCTGTTTACTTTCCTATAAATAGTCTCTCTTCAACAGCCACAAGTGTTCTTAGGTGAGGCTGGAAGAAGTGGCCAATGAACAATGCATTTCATATATGTTTTATCCCAGCCAAGGTAGAAATTACTTTTGCCTGCCTTAATATCTGAAAAATGCTCTCTTGCTATTTTGGAGAGCCACAGGCATGCTGACAGAATTTTAATTGGGACTAAGACAGTGGATTTGATAAACTGAACTTTTAAAATGAGGCAATTAATTTTAATCCTAGTCCTATTAAAGTATTTCTAGTGCTCTAGATACACTTTGTTCTTTTCCCCATTACTATTGTGTAGGATATAAACCACTGCTGCCACAAAAGACCAGTCCTGTGTATTTCAAATATGGATAATCTTGTGTAACTCAGTAGAGTTTGGCCCAGCATAAACATTTTTCACCAATTTTGCCTACTTGCTTCATTATTATTCAAGAGAACAGCTGAGTAATTGCACTTTCTGCTGAGTGGTGTCATTGGTGGATACCGACAACGATTTCAGGGCAGAGCCCGGGATTCACACGACCAGTTAAAGCAGCATGTTTGGCCTGCCTATTAGTAAACTCTTAGGCAGAGCAGAAGTTCTGAAAGAAGTGGGCAGTGGTAAATAGAAACAGAGCTGGTACACATACCAAAGGGATGAGCAGGCTTGTATTTAGTAAGTAAGGAAAATGGTGCTTTAAAATGGTATAAATTATTTCAAATACTTTCTCTCCATGCAGTGAGGATGATTCACTCTACACACTTGCATAATATTCATCCTAATTTTTTTTTCAGAAATACAAACTTCCCATACCATGCTGGCAATATTTTTATGCAGCTGTGCACCTGTGAGAAGCTTACTGGAACGGGAAGGAATAGTTCAATTTGGTTTAGATCAGGTCATTCACCTCCATGAATTCTTGTATCACCATGAAGCTTTTGCATCCTTAATGTGATGCTGAATGCAGTCTTACTTAAATTATTTGAGGTAATTAAAAATACCCCTGTGTTCCACAGCTGTATCCAAACCCAGCAGCCTCTGCAGCTGTGGACAGCAGTCTCACAACACGTGCTCTTGTTCTCACAACCTGCTTGCTGATGGCAGTTTCATCCCAACAGGGTCAATACTGCAAAGAAATGTTGTGCCCCACATGGCTGGAAATCAATAGCATATGGTCAAAGAAATATACACTTGTGTTTGGGAAACAGTCAGCAAAGCCGAAGATCAATGCACTTCAAACTTCCGTACTCTCAAAGAATAAAAAAAGAAAGTTGCTGTATGATGTTTTAAATATTTTTATTAACAGACAGGCCTGCAAAATTGTTTTTTTCATAGTTGTTAAATTTCTTAATGTACAGCTGATGGTTAAAAAGCATTCTGGCCCAGGCCACTGCTCCAAAATGCTGTTATTCTATACCTACATACACAAGGAAAGAAACAATCTTTGTTCAAAGAGGTTATGAACTAAAAATATATGGTTAATAGTAATGTGATGCATGTTGCTTGCCAGAAGAGCCATGAGAAGAGGTGAGAGCCTGGAGGCTTGCTTTTCTTCAGTCCAGTGTCTCATCTCCAAGACATATTTTTTCTGCATTATAATCACTCTTTAATGACAGTAAAAGCATGCTGAGGGTACGGAGCTAACAGGCATGTTAATGCTGTGAGCGTAAGCACATTGCAGATAACCTCAAAGGACCCAACCCAACGCTTTTGTGAAAGTGTGCCAAAGGAGTAGAGAAATTCAACCCTGGGAAAGAACCTTTGCTATTGTCTAGAGCCCCCACAGAGACATGTTTTTAAGGTCTCCCTTGTTTTGCCCTGGAAACTGTCAAGAATCTCTTGCTTTCCTTTCAACAATAGGAAGAGGAAGGTCAGTGCCATTGGCTTTGCTCATACTTTGCTTGTACTTGCACAGCAAAGAGAAGCTCTAATGCCTTTAAATGTACAGCAACTTTTTCTTTTCTTTTCTTTTCTTTTCTTTTCTTCTCTTTTCTTTTCCTGCTGCTATTTTTGTAGTGAATTTTGGGAATGGAAAAAACCCCTTAAGTAATGTTAAATTATTCATAATTAAATGGCTTCCTAGAAGCAATGCCTACCACTTGCCCTGTAGTTGGTTCTGTACACTTCTGTGTCTGTACAGGACAAGAAACCTCCTTGGAAAAACAGCACAACAAAACATTTCAGGATGTGTTTGTGATGGCATTTCCAGGCACATGTCTGTGTGGCTGCCAGTATCTGAACAGTCAGTGACTTTTGAATTTCTGCTGGCGCTTCCTTTGTCCCAGCACTGAACCAGGAGGTCTGTCTGGTGTCTGTCTCACCTGACCATTGCCTCTTCCAGATCACCATGAACTCCAGCTTCATGTAAGTGTACTGAATCAGTGGGTGCATCAAGTCCTAAGTCTTCCTTCGTATCACTGCATCACATTTCTCTGAATTTATCCTTATTTAACCAAATAAGGGAGTGTTTCAAAGAAATTTCTCAGATTTGTTGCCACTGCTGCAAGAAAGCATTTTCTTACAATAAATTTTTTTAGTAAATCTTCTGCTATGCTTTCATTGTTGGCTCATTGCACGTAATTCATAGTATTTAAAGTTATTTTTCAAATTTTTGAGATGCTAATCATGTGGTTTGCTCTTTTTATTCAGCAACACATATTTTCTTTCTGCATTAAACTCTTGACATTTATCTTGACTGCTTATCTTGATTTAGTTGACTTTCTGACTTTATTTAATTATTTATATATATTAAATTTTTACATCCTGTTTTATATTTAACCTCCCACCACAATTCATGCAACATGAATGCACATCAGCTGTTAAGTGGTCAGACTTAGAAACCATGGCACTGCAGCCACGGGAAAAACATAGCCAGAAAAAGGAACAGCAATGTACCAGTGGTTTCCTTCACTGCTATGAAAAAGTGTTTTCTCCAGGACTGGCAGAGCTTTGCTTGTTGCATTTATCATGGTGGGGTCAAGATCTGGCTGTAGAGTTCGGTAAGCAGAAGGAGTTTTTTTGCTTTTTTTTTTTTGTCGTTTGTTGGGGAAGATGGGAAAGGAGTAGATGTTTTGAAACATGGCCACAGGAGTTGGGACACAGAACACATGACACAATCCTTTTGTTTCCTGGAGACAGCACTATTGTGTGTTAGCTGGCCACCACAGGGCTACCAAACCTTTTCAACTTGTCAGGATTCTTGTCTCTCTTTTAGCACATTTGCTTGTCTATGCAATAAATATTAATTCTGGCTCTTACTGTCATAGCTGTTTAAATGTATTTTCTCTATCTTTAGCTTGTCTTCCTTCCACAAGTTAGATCTGACATCTCTTTGAGCCTCCTATTGCATCAGGAGGATAACTGAATTTCTTGATGTTTTGGCTTGATCAAGATGATTTTTTTCAGATGGTTCAGTTAGGTGAGATACAGATTTGATGGAGTTACAAGTTTGTTTCACTTACTAAGCAAAAATTCAAAGGCTTTACAGAATATACCTGCTGAGGTTAGAGTGAAATCTTCCTACATGTCCTGTCATTCTGTGTTTTGTAATGTCATCAGGTTGCTGCAAAATACATAACTTGCTAAACATCACTGCTGGTTCAGCTGGCCAGTAATTTTAGATCAACACTTGGTAAAGTTTGACATTCAGTCTCTCTTGAGAATCAAAAAAATTGTACTAAGGTCAATTCAAGAACAATTCAAGAAACAGAGCTGTTCACATTAGGAGATAAAAAAGTCATAGAATGAATTTTTTAAACTTTATTTAGTTCCATCCTGCTTAGAAATAAGGCTCACCCTTAGACGGTCTTTTCACTTTGGGAATGGGGCAAATACCATAGCCATTTTGTGGCAAGTTTCCTAGCCACAAAATGGTCTTTAAAGCTTTACAATTAGTACTTTAAGCCTTAAACTTGAGTAGCAGATGTTTTAATCACAGGCTACGCACACCCCTGAGAAGCAGGGCTACTAGAGGTACCCAGTGTGGTGTGGCAGGAGGACAGCTGGTCTTTCGTTCTATCCCAGTGGCTCTCATTCAGCACCCATTTTCTCCATCCTTGTTTTATTGGCTTTCTACTAGTTATAGGTTTATTATGTCTTAATGAGAATAGTGTGCAGTATTGACAGACTCTGCTGGTGTTCCACAAATCACATTTTTCTGGATTTGAATTTTTGCATAGGGTTCTGGCTTTACTTGCAGGATTCTGGACTGAGGTGGCAGAAACTTCTGTGTTTACCAAGTACAATATTAATTGATCTGGTGGAAAGGAGAAGCTGAAAAAATAATTATGTTATTGGAAATTGGTGCATGCCTGAAAAAACAAAGCCTTTATTCTACAGCAGTCCAGGATTTTGCAATGGCTCACTGTAAGCTAAAAGACCCTATGGAGATTTCAAAAGATATCACATGCCAGTATGCTGAATACATTGTTGGTTTAAGCTCTGCTGCTCTATCCAATTATCTGAACTTTGTCAGCTGCACTTCGTTGTTTTTTATTTTTTGATAAAAGACAGCATTCCTAAGCTAGCATTTTTTTCAAAAGGCAAACAAGAGTATCTCATAATGACTACATTGCAAAAGAAAATTTCAATCCCATTAAAACTTGAGTAACATTTCCCAGTAAAAGGAGCTCTAAAGCTACCTAGAAATGTTTCCCACCATTTTATCTAGAATAAATTTTGAATAGTTTTCTGATAGCCAGTTTTTCAAGGACATATTAATAAAATCATACTTTTATAATATAACAGTTGACGGATGGTAAATGGACAGTTTAAAGGTGTCTGGCCACAGATTGCAGGCTAAGTAAGGAAAAAAAACTGAAACATGGGAGGGCAGATCATCAGCTGTCAACGTTAGTGATTTAGGTCCATTGAACTGTATGAAAATAATTTTATT